AAAAAAAATAAGGCTTACATTTACCATGTGATTTCTATGTAAATATAAGGCAGGTGTTTCTCTTCATTTAGGAAGCGCTGTGCTCAGCACTGGCAACGCTGACTTACCTAAACTCACGTAATGGTTTCTATTATTGGGAACTCATTGAGATTTTACAGCACTCCTATTTTTTGATGTCTAAGCACTTAGAGGTCAGAACAGCGAACACGTTGGTCTTCTGTTTTCCATGCTACCAATCCCAAATGCCTACATTCACTTAAAATTATTCACTTAAATATAAAAGGTTAGTACTTACCCCTTGATTTTTGGATTGGGACTTAAATGAAGAAAATCCTTTGGTGACAGCTAAGGTAGCTACTTCTACAGTATTTATGTGATCTTACAACTGCAATTCTTTTGCACATAAAGAGCCTGAGTAATGGGGCTTTCTGAGGCTTCAGGTTTTGATTTTACATTCTTGGCATATATGCCGTTTGTACGTAGTACCAGGAAGATAAGCGTACAGATGCTAAGCAAGCTTTCTTGGGACATGGACAAAGATCAGCCTGCCAAGAAATTTAGAATGCTGATTTTAAACAATAGTGATTAAGATGTATGGAACAGTGAAAACTTGTGTTTAAAGTTCTTTGTGAGGTTTTTTAGATGTTGTATATTTTTAATGATTGATTTGGATGCCTCCTTTATTGGCTAATGCTGAGCAAGTGGCTGCAGGGTCTGAATGGAGTCAGTTTTTCCTGCATCCTTGGTCCCACCTGAGACTCCACAGTGTGCCCGCAACAGCAGGATCATTTGCTATGAGTTGAACCGAGCCTGTTGATTTATTTCACGTAATACCACATGGCCATCTTCACATGGCAGTAGAGGGTAGCTGAGATTAATCTGAGAGCTACAGCACTTACATGGGAAATTGAGCCCCTGGAAGGTGCTGTTTGTTTTAGCCAATCCACATTTGCTTTATGTGGAGATGCCTTATGGATGCCTTTTTGCTATTTCTAGAAGAATTGTTTAGAAATGAGTAAAAGAGATGTTGCAGATAGAGGTGTTTATGAGATAAGGGGTGAGATTTTTTTCAAGTGACTTGTAATTTGAGTGCCTGCACTCTGAAGCCTATTACCAGTCAGACGGGGAGCGGTGGTGCTGCTTGTTATAGCACCCTGGCGAGGGCTCATTGCATCTTATAAAGCAGATCCTTCAGTAGTGCAGAAAGTAAAGCATCCGAAACTACTGGCTGCTGTAGCAAACGCTGGCTTCTTGGTGTAACTGCTGCCCTAGTGCTGGATAGGGCTGGTTCGTTCCCCTGACGCTCACCAAGGCCGCTTACCTGGGCATGAGCAGGAGCTGCAAAACATGTCCAGCAGATGCCAGTGCTGTGGAGAGCATTTGGAAATCCGTTTTCTGTCTTTCTGAGGCCGGATGAGTGCTGCCTCTTGCTTCTGGCTGCTGACGGCTCCTTTGTCTCTGGGAGGAGGTCACCCCTGTCCTGCCAGGTTTGACCTGTTGAACGGAGATCTATACCCTGTGCAGTTTATTGCCTGGCAAAAAATCAAATTCCTTAAATTCCCTAAATGAATTTCCTTTGGAATACAGTGTGGCTTAAGCACTTGGCTCGGGGAACAGCCATAGTGGTGATTCACAGTGATCCACCGTGCCCTAACCAATAGGTTTTACCGCCCAGGAATCCTAGCCTAAATTAGTGCATAGGGAAAAAGTGATTAAAGAAAGGCTCTTTTTCTGTCGTTATCTGTGACAGGGTTGTGGGGGGGGCCGTTCCGTGAAAGAGTTGTTGTGCAATGGCTTTTTAATTGCTGGGGAGAAGTAGTTCAGCGTATGAATTAATTTCACCAGCAGAAAAAATTAGTGGCTGGCTTCTGCAAAGGGAGGTTTAAACTTTATCATTAAGAGGCGATTGAACTCTGCCTGGATTGAAATAAGGGCTCCACAGATATGGAGGCAGAAGTGATTGAGGGGGTGTCTGCTGAGCACTTGGTCTCGTTTACCCTGGCATTAGTTACAGCTGGAGTTTTACCCTGCAATTACTCAGTCCTGCCTTCACCCGGTCCCCTCGCTGCGTTTTTCCTTCAGAGACAGGGTGGCTTTGTTTCACAGGGTATTTCTGGAATCTTGCAAATGTGATGTTTCTGTGCTTTTAGGCACGAAAGTGCAAATATCACCTTTGTTTATTTGGAGATGAATTTAAATTAGATTATTTCCCTCAGCTGCTCACCTCTTAGTTTTTTACAGTAACGCTCATTAGTTTGTGCGGTTATATTGCCAATAGAAAAATTCATGGTTAGGAGCTTTAGAAAAAATAAAAACAAAACAGGGGAATGATGATATATGAGTCTACAGGCGTTTTTAAAAGATATTTGTAAGCAAAAAAAATTAATGATAGAAAACAGTGCATTCAGCTTTCATATTACGTGATGGTGGTGTCAACCCTGAAACAATGTACTGTTTCACTGTTCTTCACTATATTTCGGTCTTGTAGCTTTATGCTTCCCAGAGGAGTTGAAATAAATACACAGTTACTATAGGGCTTAATCTTAGTCTGTTTGATTTAATTTACATATTCTGACTTTTATGACAATCTGTTTTCTAACAAAACAGCTCTACCCTTCTTTCTCTGCCCCAACCAAAGCAAAAAAAGGTGCATGATTTGCCCTGTTTGCGGTGATGTCAACTGGTCATAATACTCCCGATATTTTTTTGAACATCTGTTAAAGTATGTTATTGTGTTAACAAAAAAAGATACTTGACAAACAAAGAGCAAACAAATGCTTTTCCAGGTATTCTGTCAAGGTAGTGCGTAGCTTTGACATCTGTTACATGTGTGACTTGTCACCCTATTTTGTAGTACACATCAGTTCAGTGATTATGCAGTGCCTGCAGATTTTTTTTGTAAAATGTCAAACTACTGTTTAACTCTGTGTACTACATCAAGTTAAGTTTTATATTTATCTCAGTTGCTTCAATCTGTTAGCATTCGTAGAGTTGTTTCTGCATTCTGGGATTATTTGGGATTTATCATTTGCTTGGTTTTAGTACACTGAAAATCTCATATGTGGTTAAGTTCAGCCAGTACTGTCAGTGTGAAACATTTAGAAGAGGGGTTACCAAAATGTCCCCTATGAGGCATTAATTAGTGAACTTCATCTTCCCTGAGTCTCCCACCCCACCTGGGAACAAGCAACAGCTACCAGCTAGACGATGTTGAGCATTAGTCTGGTGACATGTTTGGTTCCAAGGGATTGTGTTAAGAGAAGTATATACGTGTATGGATGGAAAATTTTATTTATTTCATTTTTGCTAAAACACACCCATCATAAGGAATAAATGAAGCTGCTGTCCAAAACTGAGATTCCCCTGCACAGACCTGCCTTTCTCACCTGTTCTTCACATCCCCTGTCCCCGCAGCTTCGCTTCCGTGCAAAGCCTTCCACGAGGGCTGACCTTCCACGGTCAACAAAATCCAGTCCTGACAGAAAAATACAGCAGGAAGCTACACAACATGCAGCTTCTGGTGCCAGTTTTATGTATGCATATAGGTACCTTCAGGTAATATTTTCCAAGGAGATGTGATATTTTCTTAGCAGGTTGAAGTTGAAGTTTACCGGAGAGATTCTAAGAAGCTTCCTGGCCTGGGAGACCCTGATATTGACTGGGAAGAGAGCGTCTACTTGAACCTCATCCTACAGAAGGTAACAGTGATGCTTATCTGATTTTCATGGGCTATTTATGCTAGAGAGGTTTTAGGGTAGGCTTTGGTCTGTCCCCTTTCTTCCCTAGCTTGGGGGATTTGAACACTTCTGGAGGATATAAAGAAAACATGGCTTTAATTTTGCCTTTCAGAGTCTAAATGAACACAAATGGAGATGTTTATTATTTTTCAGTAGAGTCCTAATAGCTTTCCTCAAAAAACTTTAAATATATCCAGTGAAGCTGGGCTGAATTCTATGGTCTGTAACAAACTTCTGCAAAATGGAGGCTTTGTCAAGTTTAATAGTTTTTGAGAGTGAACGAGACTGTTAGACAAGCAACACTTCCTTTACAGTGCACAATACTGGTGCAGCTAAGAGAGGGAACTGCTAAGTGGAAATGCAGTAAAGGTGTTATGTATTAGACCGGGAGTTTGCTGCTCTTGACATCAGAAGTTTAATAAAACTTTTTTTTGTGGTGGTGGTGGAAACATGACGCTAGCACAAATTATTTCTTTAATTAACTCATAGGTTGTTTAGTTACTGCATATGTTACATTGGTGCTTAGGGAAGCTGAACGTTACTATAGTCATTTCAGATCCCTTAAAAGTTTTGTTGATTATCATCTCGGAATGAGAGACTGCTGGCTCATTACACACATCCTGGAAAATAAATTGGTTTCATTCTCTCTCCTTCCTCCCAAAAGTCTCATTGCAGAACTTCTCTGCAGAGAGCAGTTTCTGCTTTTACTTGATGCTGAATAAAACCAGAGTCCGTTTTCTACAGTCAGAATTCAGAGATGCTATTACAGCTGGGCATTGCTGTCCAGAGCTATCACGCTTGCTCCTTACAAGTTTTTTCAGGTTGTTTGGCAGGCTACGTTAATGGCTTCTGACCTCTCTAATGTGTTGCTTGTGTTCATTAGTGTTTCTATTTTTGATTTTTCAGAGGGAGGGTATCTTTTCCATTTCTACCTTAAAGTGTGCTTCTGTGTCTGTGTGTCATGCTTATTCCCCCAGCTGACCAGTAAGCTAGTGTTAAACAATATTGACAGGAGTTTCTTTACCCATAGGTTGTGCATCTCGGCAAGCATCTGTGCAAAAGATTTCAGTGTCATTGAGTTAATAAACAAACACAGGCTTGAAAATTGTAGGTTTCAGTATAATAAAGAGAATAAAGAAAATAGCAATACCAAAACATCTTACTTTTTAGCCAGACAGCTAAAAAAATTAAGACAGAATGTGTTCTGCTTCGTGCACATGAATGTTTTGTTTTGCTGACTCTAAACATACATTTCTCTATCTGGTGCCCTGTTTTAGCTGGATTATGTGGTGACATGTGCTGTGTGCACACGCTCTGATGGAGGAGATATACACATTCACAAAAAGAAATCTCAGGTGAGATTACCCTGATATTACTGTGGATGAGAGGTTAGCATCCAGTATTACCTAATCCTAAAAACTGTATCAAAACCAGGGCAGTGGCTCTCAGGCTGTGCTCTGACAGACGCCTCCTTGTGAAGCATCTCAAGTCTTTCTCTAGTGACATTTCCTGCCAGTCATCTAAATGTGAGATCTAAATGTCCTTTATAACTCCTCTCAGAAAATTGTAAAGACCTCTGCGTGCTTTCAAGATTTATATCTTTGCCTACTGGATTTGGGGGTGGGGGGGTGTGCTGGGGGGGGAGTATGCCCAACTGTTAACCAATCCGAGGGTAAACCTGAAATTGTATGAGGCCTGAGCTATGAGAAGCCTTCAGGGTAAATCTGTAATGTAGGGCTATTAAATTGTAGACAATTTATTGATTACCAATTTATCTTTTTATTGTTTTATGAGATTCTTGTTTTCTCTCTTAAACTGCTCATTCCTTCCATCTCCGAAGGCTTTTATCACTTGCTTGTGTGCAGCATACAGTTAATCCAGGGTTTTGCATGGTGGAGGAGACTGAATAATAAGCATGGAGGGGATAGGAACCAGAAGCCCCAGCCTTCTTCACTCAGTTTCCAGCAGATCTTGCAACAACTACTCCTAGTTGGCAGAAATTCTTTAAAAGGCTCCTGTGGCTTTTAAAAGGTTTTTTCTCCCAGGCATTTCCATTCCTTCAGCTCATTCAGCTGCTTGCGTGGCTTTACCTAAAATAAACCAATGCTCTTTAATCCTTTAATTTTGTTTTACCATTTTAAAACAATTGTTGCTTTGCCTACAAACAAAACTAGCAACGCTGATTATTGTATTTGTAGTTTGCATTAGTTAGGTGCATAATTCCCTTCTTCTGATGCTGTTGAGACACCACATTACATCATTGATGTAAGCCTTTTATTTCTCATTGCTTTTTCCACTGTCTACTAGTCCAAATTTCACCCCCAGTTAACTTCTGCAAAATTCTTTTGAGAAAAATCTGTAAATATTACTTGCAGATTTGAAAACTAGGAAGATGAGGATGAGGGACCTGCCCTCACTGCGTGTGAGCAGTGTCCAGAATAAGGAGGAGGTTTTCTGTTCCTCTTTCCTAGAGGCTCGTACTATGGGACTGCTTTTAAATTTTTCTTTGTCTCCCCTTTTCTAGGAGAAACTCAGCACACATTAAAACTTACCAGTACATACTAGTAACGTTTCAACATCATGAAGTTGATCTATGAAGAGAGAAAAGGCAATTCTATATACTGTGGAAAGCACATTTGCAGTAGGGCATTTCATTGTAGCATGCACCATCGAGGCCCTTAGTTTTCAATGAACAAAAGCCAACTTTTTTGGATCTATATTGCTGCTCTGATGGTTCTTGCTTTAGAAAGCATATATTACCCTGTCAGTGTGCAGCCAGATGTTGAATAGGTAGAAGCCCTATTCAGGCATAGCTTGCTGTGCTACTCCAGACCTGTGACAAAGCTACTGTGTTCATACCAGTAGAGTACCTAAGGCACGAAACCAGTGTGAAAAAGGCTGACTTTCCCCTAAATTATTTTGCAGACTACATTGATTCTCTGCTGGCTTGACTATAAGATCTCTACAAACTGTATTTTCCTCAAGTGTGTCTAACTGGAGATGAGTTTGGGGTTTTTTTTTTGCTTTACATTGGATGCCATGAGAACAAGGATGCCTGGAAGATGTCCTTGTTTCAGGCATTGGTGCAAATGTCATCTTTGAGGAGTCTTGTTACTTTCTACTGCTGTTTCTTGTTATGAAGCAACCTTTCTTTTTAATAATCTGTATTTAAATGTGCATGTAGGCTTCATAAGTACAAATAAGGAAAAGCAACCCTCTCATGAATATTTAATATCCTACCCTTAGTCATGTTTTGTGTTGAATGGTTGGTAGCAGGAGTATCACAAGCCTGACAATCTGGGCAGATTCAGAGCTTTCAACATATTCATAGTGGGCTAAGATTTGACAGGTTTCTTTAATTCAAAGCTTTGTTTGTAAACAGAGGTGGAAGCAAAGAAAGCTACTTGGTATGAATTCTTCTCCCTCTTTACCTGCTTTTTAATCTTGTTGGAATAATAAAATCTAAAGCCTTTAGCTATTTAAGCATAGGTTGTTTTGAGGAGTGAAGTGACTAAAGGAGTTCAGGATCTGCTTCAGACGGAGGAACGTGCAAGAGGAAGCACAGTGGATAGAGAAAGAAACAGAAGCAGCAGATGAGGATGAGAAATCAAGTGCTTGTCCTCATGAGGGCCATACTTCCCATTACTGAGTAATGTTGATCTTATCGTGGTACTAAGCAAACAATAACAATGAAATTAACTGTACAAGCAAATAGTGTTAGGTCAGCTACTCCACGGTAATTTTCTTGCCGTGAGTGCTTTTACTTTGCAGCGCATTGCAATAACTTAAAGGCAGCTCAAGGTGGTTTTCTCTGTTGATGAAAAGGAGGATACCTTAGCTGTACTGTAGGATGGTGAGAGGTCAGGTACACACACGGACATTTACTGTGGAGCAACTAGTATTTGATAACTTGCATGTGAAAACTCAAGGATTTCACAAGTGTTGGCATTATTGCAAAGGAGGCTGTAGTCAGAAACCAGCTCAGCTTTGCCTGCGGGATGTCCAGCATCTCTAGCGTAAGGGAAAATGTTGGCTGACTGGGCAGTGTTGGACTGTGGTGTTTTGGTATTGCTTGCCTTGTATTCAGTGCGTGCATTCCTGAGCACATTTAACTGAGAAGATTTTTTTTTTTTTTTTTTTACCATATCTTTCTCAGCAAGTGTTTGCGTCTCCTAGCAAACACCCAATGGACAGTAAAGGAGAGGAGTCAAAGATCAGCTACCCCAACATATTCTTCATGATTGACAGTTTTGAAGAGGTGAGATCCTTGTTGCAGCAGCAGAGTTTTGCCCTATTCTAGTCTTATGTCCTGTTTTCTTGTACCTTTTGAACAAATGTTCTTGGCTAGTTGAAGGTTATCTTCCAGTAGTTTTTATTTTCTTTTATTTGACCTTCCTCTTTCTTTAATGTTTGAAATCTGAGCTTAAAGCTGGGTTTTGGCGTCTGTCTTTATGATGGGCTAAAGCAAGGCAGGCTGATGTCAAGCTGCTTATCTCAACACATGATTTGCAGCATGCACTGCCTGAAGTCTGGTTTTTTGAAAGGCTGGGGTGGAGCATACAGCTCCCTTGCTTTCTGCCATTTACATTGAAACTGCCTTGGGTCTAAGGAGAATTATGGGACTCTGAATATATTTGAACTTTAACAGCTGCAGTTTGTCTTGAAGTGTTTCATCTTGCATCTTTGGCAGGTTTTCAGTGACATGACTGTGGGAGAAGGAGAAATGGTCTGTGTGGAGCTGGTGGCCAGTGACAAAAGCAACACCTTCCAAGGGGTGATTTTTCAGGGGTCCATCCGCTATGAAGCACTCAAGAAGGTCTATGACAACAGGGTAAGGTGCTTCTGAAAGACAACATTCTTTGCAACAATCATGCTCTGACCACAGTTTTTCTTTGCTGCTGAGGCTGTTAGCTTTTTGTCCTATTAGATCATCTGCATCGTAGTCTGTCTTTTTTGGCTTTGAAAGTTACCTGAAAGCTAATGCTTTTGGCTCAGACAGCTGAGAGTATTCAGATCAGGATATATTACTGTGGTATTTGCCAAAAGGAGTGAAGTTGATAAGTAGTCAAGAGCGTGACACAGGAATGGATCTGAGTAACAGAGTTCTGGGAGCCCCTTCATTTTCTTGAAAGGTCATAGATATTTCTAGTTACTTCAGAAAAGGCATGTTTTGCAGGGAGATCTTAAACTCTACCTTGCTATATGTAAAACGTGTTTTTCTTTAGTGTGTTTTGTGCTCATGACTATTTTCAAAAGGCCACTGTAGTTACACTGCCACAGAAAGAAGCTTTCTTTGCTTTCCTACAGAACATGCAATGCCAGCACTTTCAGCTTCAATTCAGTACTTAGTGCTGAAGTCAAGAGAGTGCAAGAGCCAATAAACTTCTCAGTTTGTTATGAAGACAGTCCTGAGAGATTTTAAAAAACAAACAAAAAAAAAATCCCCACAATATCTGCTGTGACTGTAAACTTCATTTCCCTTTGTTCCTACCCTTGTCAGGAGAGGTGCTGAATAGTTTCCCTTCTCCCTGTTTTAAATGTGAATAGTTATCCTCTTCTAGCAGTTTCTCAAGAGAATATGAAACTGAAATTGTTTCTCTGTCCCACCATCATCTTATGGCCTCACGCAATCATCAGGTGGGTTACTGAAATACATGGGAATGCAGAATCACTAAAGACAACATAAGAAGAAAGCCCTGCAGTGGAAAGACAAGATTTGATGTGGTAAAGTAATCTCATAGCCTGGGAATGTCCTGTTTGACCACAGAGCTACTTTACATTGTTTTGTTAGATGAAATAAAATTGTTAGCTCTTCAAATACGCAATTATGGCTGAAGGCAAAACTTGAAATTTGACCATTCTTTTAACAGAACAGAAGCAATCTCTCTATGCTTTTGAAGGTTACTTGATTTCAGTTGTGCCTGTATTAATTCTTAGTACAATACGAGTTGTGTTACATGATGAGCATCTTGGCTCTTTCAGGCGATAATCTGCTGAAAGTTGTGATAAACCACTTAAACTTATGGATAAGCCCTGCTTATTTCACTTGGCAAAACCTTGTCTGTTTTCATATTGGTCTGTTCCTTTTTTCAGTTCTCTGTTCAGTTTTCAATTCAGTTGTGTTAACTGGGAATTGAGCCCTTCTGTCTGTTGAGAGGGTTCAAAAGCTGGCAGGGTTTTGCGGTGAGCAATGTGATGCAGGTTAGTTGTGCATGGGGGCTGGTTCTTTATGCTTTGACCTTGACAGTGTGGACACACAAATGTCTGAATTGACTTGCCACAAAGTAGTGCCGGAATTGTACAGTGTGCTTTGCTAGTTTGAAGCATCTCATATGTGTGTCTATTGCTTTCTGGACTCAAACGAGCGTCCCTGCACAGGCTGTGTTGAGTTGTGTACGTGCCTTCTTGTGCTGTGGTGTGCCACGTTGTGTGGGTCTGGATAAAAACCTTTTGTTTTATCTCAGCATGCCATTGGGTAACTCTGCCTTTTGGATAACTGAGGGAGTTGATTCTTCTCTGAGCCTCTGTTTTTGTATCTGTAAAATTGCTTCCCTTTTGGAGATCACTGCAGATTGTGGCTTAAAATGCTTCTTAAGAATCAAGACAATGATCATTATCCACTATGGTTTTTACTTAGATAACTGCTTTCAGAGAACGTTATTTTTTTGAAACATGAAGATGATGTTACATGGTTTTCTCTCCTGTCTTGATGCGTTGTAGGTGAGTGTTGCAGCTAAGATGGCTCAAAGAATGTCTTTTGGCTTTTATAAATATAACAACATGGAATTTGTCCGAATGAAAGGGCCACAAGGGAAAGGACATGCGGAGATGGCAGTGAGTAGAGTTTCTACTGGTGACACTTCACCGTATGGGACAGAAGAAGATTCAAATCCAGACTCCCCAGTGCATGAGAGAGTAAGTAGCAGACAGAAATACTGACTTACAGATAGGCATGAACATGTTGTGTTCCAAAGCCTGTAGACGGACTGAAGCTGGGATTAACTCGCATCAAGATTCTGAACTTAGGCTTGCTTGTGTATATTTTGAACATACTCAGTATATAGCACAATTTCCCTTGAGCAAATACTGAATACAGAGATGACTGGATGATTCATACTTCTGGAGGAGTGTTTTGTTGAAATAACAGCAATGTTGATGCCAGGGAAAATGATGATTCTGCCTGTTTTCTATGAAAATTAATAGATTCCATTTCTGTACAAGATGGGATTTACCTAGAAATGTGGAATTCGTGTATTATGTAGATTGCTTGCCAAACATCACAGGAAATGGTACTGTTAAGAGATTTTGCCACTGATGAATGCTGCCAGTGTGAAGCCTGTATAATATTAAAGCAAAGATTACGGGTCTAGATGCAGTACCATATTTATGCATATGCTTAATTTTAATGCAAGTGCAGTAAAATACCAGTAGAATCAGTCCATAGATGCTGATTTGGCCCTTATTCAGTCCTAAGCCTTGTTTTCCATTAAGGCATTTTACCTAATTAATGGGGATTAGGCAACGTCTTCAAAATACCTGCACAGATGTGTCCTGACCTGGGCTGGGAAGTTCCTGATGGATTCTAGTCTGGTTTCCTGTGTAACACAGCTAATCTGTGTAGCTGAAAGGTCTGCAGGATTGCTTCTAAAGGCCTCCATGCAAGCTGTGTGATTTTTGTTTCTGGTTTCCTAAAAAGCAAAATGAATTGCCAGCACTGAGCTTGTTTACTGGATATGCATGCTCTCTACAATAGAGATACAGCCTGGAGAAATCAGGCCTAGAGGGACTTCCTGATCTTTTGGCTCCAAGAATTCCAGTGGCAACTGGAAAATGTCAAAATACATGTGATAATATATTATCATTGTTTTTTGCTAATGGTTTTAATAGTGATTTGTCTATTTCTGGTTTTCCCTCCAGGTGTGATATGAAATGGCTTCAGAATTAAAAATAGACAAGCCCAAATTAGAGATCAAGTGCACTAAAGAGAGGATCAGCTGGGTGGTAGAATGCTTCTGGGTTGTTTTTTTTTGTTTGGGGTTTTTTGTTGGTTTTGGTTTTTTGTTTTTGTTTTTTTGGTTTTGGTTTTATTTTTTTACAATAATGATAGAGGGACGACATAGAGTTTTCTGCAGTGCAACACCAGCCTGGCTTGTCTGTCATCCTCACTCACATGTCACCTCCCTCCTTATTGGTATGGACAGATGTGAGAAATATCAGATCTCATCTCAGGAAGAGTTATGGGATTGTCAAATTAACTTTGTGAGGAAGGAAGGATGAGATAGAAGTTGCTCACCCCCATTAGCAAAGTAGTTATCCCTTTTTTTTTTGTTTGTTTGAAATGAAACTATTAAAACATTACTAGCAAAAGCAGTACATAAACACTGCATTTCAATTCTTTCTGAAACAGATAGAGTTGACTATAATTGTAGTTTACGCAAGAGCAACTACTGCTCTGAAGGACGGGTGGGTGTCTCTATAGTTTCATCCCTAACCTGTGTTTCACCATAGACAATTATATCCTTGTATTTGTCATCACTTAAACTAACCACATCATCAGGGGCCTCTCAACTTGTTTTTCCCTATCCCATATTGAAACATGATATAATTATAATTGTACGTTGACTTCACTTTTGCGTCAGCATCTTGGGTTAAGTACTTGCCTTGTAACCCTGCTTCACAGAGACACCGTGACCTTTCACCATGACAGTAATCCCATGTGGCATCCTTCTAAGCAGGGAAACTACTACCTTGTGTTTGCCAAAGAAACAAAGATACACAATTTTAGTATGTCCAGAACAATACATTGTTAGCCTATTAAGTCTTCTGAATTTCAACATGCAAAAATAAGATTGACATTCTTGGTGCCTAAATTATTAATCTGTATTTTGTTCCTTTGTGACTATAAATCCCTGTTAAAAGTCATCAGCTGAGGAGAGAGGTTTGTCGTTATTCACGTAACAGTTGAGGGTGATGATATATCAAAATATTTTCATCCTTATGAGCATCTTGAAGCTGAGATAACTAATCACTTGACATTCTCTGGCCTCTCTGATAAAACTTACAGCTAGACATCAGTCATGATTCTGATTTTTACATGTGACTGCCTTGTGGCACATATTTTAGACTGATTATTTCTTACTAGAAGCATAGAACTTTTTAAACAAAACTTTCTCTAGCATTTCTTCTATTTCCCTTTCAGGTCACTTCTTTCAGTACACCACCAACTCCAGAACGCAACAATCGCCCATCCTTTTTCTCCCCATCCCTCAAGAGAAAAGTGCCCCGAAATCGAATTGCTGAGATGAAAAAATCCCATTCAGCAAATGACAGCGAGGAGTTCTTCAGAGATGATGATGGTGGAGGTGAGAGAAGTAGTATCACCTAAACAGACTTGTCTGGAGAGAGCACAGAGCTATGGAAAGGGATCCCAATGCTAGATTTTCGAAAAGGTTTGCAGTGTGAAAAACCTAGCTCCACAGAAAGTTCAATGCCAGTGCCACTCTGAAAATGGGGTTATTCACAGCCTGAGCATCTTTTTGAAGGCTGGAGACCAACAATTCCTACATATATTTAAAACCTATCTCTCCCTTTTATATAGACCCATTTAAGAGAAACTTGAGCAGGAAAGATCCTCCCCCTTTCACAGATACCACCCTCTCAGGTGGCACTCTTCCAGATATCACAATGTAGTGGGGTAGATGCTCTCATGGACAAGTTCTGTGAATTTCCTGATTAGATCCAGAGTTGGTTAAAGTTGGTGAAAAGGCATTTACTTCAACTGGCTTTGGATCAGTTTGAACTCTCTAAAAAGAAACCCTAATGAATTTGTTTATATAATGGTTTAACGCCATGTGGAACTCTTCCTTTGAATTCTGGGTACTCAATATGAAACAACCAACAAAATAAAAAATTGAGTCTGATTCAGAATATAGTGTATAAATCCAATCATATCGCAGTTTTGTTAGGCAGCAAACTCACAAATGTCGAAGTCCAAAGTGCGTTTCGTACATTTAAAAACAATTTAGTAGAAAAGCCAAAAAATCTAACTATCTGTTGGCATGCTAATAGATAAACACAAAGGTAATTTCCAGATCACAAGTTCTGTTTGTAGTAGCGAAGGTATTACCTATCAGCAGTACTGGATCAGCTTAGCTAATGAGGAATTGCACATTAAAAAACAAGCTTAAGTGATAATATTTAATTCAAATTGTGTGCAACTTAAACTGGTTGTAACTAATTCAGGGTTCCATCAGTAGAAACCTTTCCTCATCTCTTTTTCCTTAATTTGCCTAGTCAAATCATCTGTTATTTCAAATGAGATGTGTTTTAGCATGTTTTATTAGGCAAAGGGTAGGGCTTGGGTCAATTACTACGTAGCGTGGGGAGAAGGGCAGCTTTCCCAGATGGAGTTCCTGCTTTTGATATCTTTCTGCTGGAGCTTGCACGGGGTAGAGTGGAGTTCAAAGCATATATCCAGCAGCCTTCATAGGTGGTGGTAGTGTCTGCTCAGTATTGTTATGCAGAGTCTGATCCTAGCATACATACTCATAATGATGAACATTCTTCTCATTTTCATTTTCTTTTTCTTCTACTATGTTTATGGAAGTGAACAAATTCCAGGTTTTCCAGACATGTTATAGCACGCATATAAAATACCGAGAAGTGTGGTTTCACTTAGTTATAAATGTTTTGACCTTCTTGTTCCTGGTCCTAAAAATAGAGAGGAATATTTTACAGCTTATGCTAGGAAGTTTAATTTATTCAAAGATGAGATTTCTACAAGGAGAAGTAACTAAAATGAGATGTATTTACAAATTTCAGAAACCTGAGTGTCCTTACCAGTGTTTGCTCAGGAGCTACAGTGATGAAATTCTCTTGTTTCAGAGGGAAAAAGCTGACTTCAAAAAGCCCATCACTGGGTGAACTGTAGAAGCAGATATATTTGGGTGCATCTTGGCTATGTGGGTGGAGGAAAACTTAGTTGTCTAGAGATCAGGAGCGTCCTTGGTCTGGCCAATGCTGCTGCAAACCTGTCCCCAGTGCAGGCAGACCTGTTGCGGACAGGAACAGCCCGTGAGGGCCCACTTCACTTGTTTTTGCTGTGTGCAAGCGTGACCCAGCAGGAGAATTGTACTTATTCCAGCTAGCAGAGTCAGGTCCTTCTGACCTGATCACCACAGTGCTCTTGGCATAGTGGTAATGCGTGGGGAGAGGGAATAGACTGCTTTGCTATACGCATTTAGAGGGAAAGAGGGAAAACAAGTTTTTTTTTCTCACGCATTGTTATGCATCTTGCTAGAGTAGCTGCTACTACTTATTTTTAATTTGCTAAGGCCTCTTTGTTTGGATCAGGACCCACTTTTAAACAAATGAGTCTCAGAGCTTGGATCACTCTGGTCCAGAATTGTTACGTTCACTTCAAATCTGCTTTTAGCGCCGTGGGACAGGGCTCAGTTTTACAGGGAAATGGAGGGAAAGTTTAGAAACACTTAAAAAATGGGGCATATGCATTCCTGGCTGTGGGAGAGATCTTCAGCTATAGAAACCTCCTCTAGCTTATGGTGGATTCAGCATCCTTTTGTTTCAAGTTATTTGTGGACCTCTAATTATGGGAAGAATGACACTGCTGAAGGGTCCCAGCTGGGCTTGGGGAATGCATGGAGATCTGCAGTGAACTGGCTTATTAATGCTGATTCTCCCTCTGACTTGTAGATGTCAATTTTCTTCATAAGATGCAATTTTTCTTCTGTTACACTTGTTCATTTCTGCATGAGTACCTACTTAATTGTAGGAGTATTCTATTATTTTTTGTAGGGCGGAAGGCTGGATTAGGATTCTGCTTGTGCAGTGTGGTAGCAAAGGCTTCATTCCCTCTCCTGGCTGGTCTGTTAGCGGATGATGGTTTACTACTGCTGCTAGCTGCTGAATATAATTCATTAGCTGCAATGTAAATAGTGAATTATGTGCTAGGCAAGATCTGACTGATTTTAAAAATAGTAAGAATAGTGTCCTGCATGTGACTTATCTCTAACAATGAATAGTAGGCTTTCCCTTTTTTGGCTTTCAGAAGCCTTCCAATAAAACACAGAAGGTACAATAACTTGAAGCTTGCTATCTTCTACCTTTACAGATCTGCACAATGCGACAAATCTGAGGTCGCGGTCCTTATCTGGAACAGGACGGTCTCTGGTGGGCTCGTGGCTGAAGCTGAACAGAACAGATGAAAACTTTCTACTCTATGCACACTTAACTTACATCACTTTGCCATTGCATCGGATTTTAACAGGTGAATTTTAATGTGTATTATGCATGAACAGAGTCCTTTGGTTCCCAAACAGCCTTCTGCATTGTGGTATTTTGTTATTAAGATAGAGGAACAAGTATTTCTGTCTAAGGGAACATCACTTTGTAGATCTTGTTTGCTGACTGTAGCAGCAAATTGGTGTGAACAAGTGGAATGATGTCAACCTGTTTTCTGGCATTGGGCCAGTTTTTCTTGGTGATGATTCAAACAAGTTGGTAGATTGTTCTAACAAACTTCCAGAGGAACACTAGTTGCTTTAATACTGGAATTCAAATTTCATCCATATCTTGAGTACAAGGCAACTCATTGTAAGCCCATCTACTGACAGCAATAATGGTAGCAGAGACCTGTGACTGAGAGGGTTATAGAAAGGCAGCTCTGGAATTTAGAGTGACTTCCTTTGCCAATTTTGACTCTTAGATTGAGTTTCCATGTAAGTTGCTTGGACTGATCAAAGTGCCCACACTGATGCTCGTAAATCTGTCAGGTGTCCAATGTCTTTAACTAGACATAAGGATGTTTGTGTGTACTACCATGAATAATCAGTCTTCCATATTGTTGGTCTAGCTATGCCAATTACTACATTGATGACGGCCAACTCTGCATTTGTTCAGCTGGGCTAGGATAGCACAGTAAGTTGGGGTTTACAATCTGCAGGCAGTACTAAAGTTTTGATATTTATCCAGATAACTCTTGTCTGCCTACAAATACAGGTGGACTAGAGAAAACAAATGGTCTGTCTGAACTCTATCCTGCTAGCCTTTCAGGGATACAGCTTGCAGTATGAGGGTTCCCATGGGACTCCTGAGATAAGTCTGAAAACCGAGAAAGCAGCAGGGGTTAAGGGCTCTCTCCTCTCTCTAAATGCAGTGGCAGTTTCTTTCGTATAGACATTACTATCCACTCTCTTCGTTCTTCCTAGGTGAAGCCCTGAAATGCTTTCTCGTTGGCCATCATGGGCAGAAAGAAAGTTTGATCCAGCTGCACAGAAATAGGACACGAAATGTCTGGGCTGTAAGGCAGAATTTTAATCTGTAGTTTTTCACTACCTGTGTTTGCTTTAGCATGGCACATCAGGTGGAGCCCGTTTCCAGAGCATTTTTGAAATTAATGCACTTGTGCCAGTGGCAGCTTTCCAGGAAGCGGGAGCGTTACCTGAGGGGCAGGGTGAAGTGAGAAAGATGCACATCTCCCTTGGGTGGTTTAGGAAGCCTGTACTAAGAAATTAACATCCTAGTGATAGTCATCAAAGTACGTTTTAAAATGTTTGGAGTTTTTACATACTGATAAGACTTCCTTCACTCTGAGCCTTCTCTCCATGCTAGATAATCCCAGTTCTCCCAGCCTCTCTTCGTATGTCAGATGCTGTAATCCCTTAGTCATCTTTGTGGCCCTTCGCTGGACTCACTCCACTGTGTTTCATTCTTTACAAGTGTGGCTAGAGCTCTCTGGAGCTGTGGATCAATTTTTACTCATGTCATCCTCTTTATGCAGCTCTATGTGATCAGCCTCTTAATTAAGCATGTGCTCCCTTTTCCCATGTTCTTTATTCTCTGTATAGCCTTGAAAAGGACCTAGCAGCCCAGTTCCCAGATATTTCTACGTACTGCTGTGCCAGCATGCTGGTTTTACTGTCCACATTTGGAAAGATGCCCATGATTCTGCCAGATACTTTACAGGTCACATTTGGACAATATGGAGCTGAGGAGCTAACAAAAGGAGTGGGTTTTGTGGCAGCTTTTTGAGTGCAGAAATGTAGGCTTTGGGATATAGAATGGATGAAACAGTTGAATTATTTGTACCCACATCTTCAGAGCCAGAAGTCTCTTTAAGGGTCTTGGGGATGGTGCGTTTCTCCCTTCAAGAAAGGTAAAACCCTTGGCATCTCATGTAATGGCACTTCCACTTGTTTCTCTGGAAGATTACGCCACTCTGTGTCTGACACATGTTGCTTCACCCCACTATAAATGACACTTAATAGATTAGCCATCATCTCTATGTATATTTGCGTCTTACTATCTCTCAACTAGGATGCAGCTGGGGAGGAATGAAATTGGACTTTAACAGGCAAAGTCGCATACTCATGTGTTAAATTCCTTTAGCAGCGTAACAGGGGGACTGCGCTGCAGTCCACAATTGCATCTCTGGTTCTTCGTGCTTTCTGGTACTGTGGCTACTTTCAGGAGCCTCCTAAGTTTGCTGTATCTCTTTGTTTCTCTCTCTTGCCCAGATATCCTGGAAGTGCGGCAGAAACCAATTCTGATGACATAGCAGAGAGCGGGCACTGCCTTGGAGCCTTGTTGCCAAGTGCCTAACCACAGCAGTTTTCTGTGCTAACACTACCATCTAGTGTCAGGAACATAAACCTCCGCAGGAAAAAGGGAAGTCCAAGAATACCAGCCGATCAAAAGTGCCTCTTTCTTCCTTCCTCTGCTGTCATACACCGTATGCACACTTGCAGTACATCGCTTGAGTGTTTCTGACTGGAAGAGGACTTTCAGCAAGATAAAACGAGAAGGGGCTGCGTTTAAAACGAGTCAATGCTTTATGGACAGTTTGTTACTGTGTTTACTTTATAACTAAGAAACCAACAATATGTACAAAATGTGTTAAACTTTATATTCTTTGAGAGAAACAACCTGAGAATTTCATAATGATGTACAAATGAACGTCGTTCCATAGACTCTCGCCCGTACACTCTCCTTGTCAGTTTGGCTTAATGTGCGTGTGAGCGTGTGTGAGTGCGTGTGGGGATAGAAGGTTTGAGAGAATAATTTCCTACTGAGGGAGGAAAAGGAAAAAGATGCTACAAAGATACATTGCCATCTTGGTACGTGCAGCGGGTCAGGTCAGAGCTTAAAAGAGGCTGAAAATGTTCCCATTTGTTCGTGCGTCAGTGTTAGATCAGGTGAACTCTGCTGACAGATTTCCGTATCTACCAAAGAACAGCAACATTTTCATCCTCAAGAACTGGCCAAGAAAATGAGCCAGTGAAAAGAAGGCTAAAATGTGCTGCTATAGTTAAAGCCGAGGTTCATATCCAGTACTAATGCTGCTTATCTCTCTGTTAGCTGAGTCGATACAAGTTTGAGTCTAAAGTGGAAAAACAGGAGGCCGTAATCGGACTCCAAACCTAAAAACCTTACCGATAACCAACATCCTCCTGCAGGCACTGGACTTCAGAGTACGTAGAGTCATCCTTGCCCGGATTCTTCATCTCCTGGTGGTGTTTTGCTGTACTGTTACATGCCGAAGCACGGAGAGTCTTCTTGAAAGACGAAAGATTGAAATGTAATTCTGCTCTGAAAAGTGACTGAAAATTGCATAGTGGGAGGTCTGAAAATTGTGTGTCAGGAGCTCTCAGGAAAAAAGCCTTATGTTTACAGGTAAAATGCAAATTTCTCTAAATAGCAAAACTCTGCTGTCCTTGACATTTGAAAGCTAAATGACTGAATATTGAGACTACTGCAGTCTGGTTCACTGTTTTGATATGGGAGCCAGTCAATACTTCAGTTTATTTACGACTGCATACATAACTGGCACAGGAATGGGTGGGGTAGCGTGTTGCTTAGAGCATGTGAGACTCCAATACACGCACAGAGGGAGAGCGAATATGCCATTTTTGTCACTTTTCAGACTCTGAGCACCTAAACTTAGCGCTGTTGCCACAGTTACCAAATGGCATTTGCTCTGAGCCTGGACCTTTGTCTTTGTCTCCCTCATACCCACGCTTTCCCAAAGTGCTTTGTTGTTATTCTCTCAGTAGCATCTGATGACTTAACTGCTCAAATAGGACTTTCTGCTTTTTTTCCTCAGGCCAGGTTCCTTGGGAATAGCTCCACTTCAGCATAAAGGTAGACTAACTTTATCATTCAGCCCAACATGGTGATCCAGCATGGTAAGGAGGTCTTCTTTTATTTGAGGCTAGGCCTGGAAACAGTCACCTTAGCGCGGAGTGATGGCATTTCTAACACCAGCAGCATGAGTGCATGACAGGAACAGCTGACCAGTTTTTAGTTCGCTTCAAGTGTGTTGCAACAGCGTTAGAAAAACGTTCACTTTGTCATTACCAGGACAGCCACTTTTCACATTGCAGCCTTTGAACTTCCCTCTGTGGGAGCATGCGGTTGGGCATGTTTGTATGTGAGGGTGTTCACACAGTCTAACCTGAGGCATGTAACTTGGGTGCCTAGGCTTTCTTCCTGAGCCGGGGGGAGAGGTGGAGTCCTAAAGCAGCAGCTGAAGTGCCCTCTCAAGGAACTTCCTAGGCAGCCTAGGTGCTTACCTGAGATCCCTAGGTAGTGTGCCTAATGTCAGTCGGTACAAATATTCTCCCCATGCCGAGAATTAAACCATTCTTCAGCTAGAAGACCGGTCCTGCTCTGAAGCCTGTCAAGATGCTCCTTATTTTGCACTTTCATACTGCTGGGCTGGCCAAATCGGTGCTCAGTTTTCCTTTAAATATTCATTGGGGAGGGAAGAGAGAGAGCGTTAATATTTGTAGTACTAGTGACAGTTGATACCTTCCAGTCCAACAGCCAGAGGAATAACACACGTGAAAGGGAAATGTATCCAGATTGGAACCCGAGTGGTAGGTGCCTGAATACTTCTCAGTCAACAGTAATTTGTAATGCTGTCTTAGTATCGTGTATTACGTTTAGGTAGCTTAATTCCATGTGATCTGAAAGACTGGGCAAATCTTGCTGTGTAAGATTTCGGAGCAAATGAAGAATGATTCTAAACTAGTACGTAAGTTATAAAAGCAACATTACAGAAAGTACAGTTCAGATCCCACATCTATTATGCAGGAGGTATCGTCTGCTTTGTTACATGTACATGGGTGGATTTTGATGTCTAGGTTTTGAAGGGCTGCAATGTAAATGTCCTAAAAAAAGTCAATTTATTTCTTGTATCTTGCTAGTGGATATGCTGTAGGTACATTGAAGACTCACCTCTTTTAGTAGAAAAGGGCTACAGGTATGCCCATATGGAAATGTAGAAAACAGAGGTCAAAAAGTCTACGGAATGTCAATAGTGCTTTTCAGAAACAAGTAGATGTGCCCGATCCGCAGTTATTCCTTCTCTAAACAAGTGACTCAGACTTCTTATGTATAGCCCCTCGTTCCCACTTTCTGTTATCAAGTGGGGGAAAACAAATTCCACGTTTTGTTCTGCTTTTAAACAAACCCTGACAATTATAATTTATGGTCCTCACATAGACAGATTGACAGGGAAGATGATCAAAGTTTTGCTTGGGTCAAGATGGCACAGCTGGGCCCTTGGCATGCTATAGCACTATACCAAAAAAGAAAAAGGAATGTTAATAGGAATCTCTCACCCTTTTAATTTGGAGGGGTTTTTAATTCTGTAGCTCCTAAGCAGTAAACCATTTTGAGCATCTGTGGGCCATTTAAGTAATTGCTGAGGAATGAACTGGCGTGTTCTGCATGCCATAAAGGCTGTATGGCTGTTGATGTCTTAACTGTTGGAGCACAGTGGTTTTCATTAGTTAGTTGATGCTTGAGAATGCAGCACAGGTAACAAATTTGGGAAGCTTTGCAGAACAGCTTTATTTATTTACAGAACCCCACCATACCTCATTATTCAGTTAACTTCTTCCATCCTTCTGCCCGTTCACTCCCCCTGGAGATCAAGGCTTACCACTTGAACACTCCGTAGATGATGTATATTGATAGATGTCAAATGCAAGGATGTAAATCTTTTCACCCGTAACAGGGTTTTCACTGCTATCAAGTTAACAAGTAAAAAGCCTTTGTTTAAGAAAGCTCTTAAATCAATTATTTTGTATTAGCGGATTATTGCTCTGCCTTAGAGACCACCGCGTATGTGAAATCGCGTTCTCTTATTGCCAGCCAGCACAGGGTGGGTTCCAATTCTCTTTGTAAAAGAAGAAGCCATTTTTAGAAACGCCACAAATCTTTTAGCTGTCTCGGCTAATCCAGTTTGTGTGGGTTCATGTTCCTTCTCTTTTTATTCTCCTGGTCTTCATTGTTTACAAGGCTTGAGCGTGTTGGGCTCTGGATCGCTGTTACTCAGTTTTCCATTTCTGGGCATGGTGTGCTTTCCTGAAAAGAGAATTGTTTGCACGGGTGGCTTTTCACAGTAAAATGTTTTTCCCAAAGTATATTCTTACACCAAGTTTTAATTTAAATAGTGAAGTCCTTGGCTCTGCAGACAGATTTCTTCCAGCAGACCCTCATGTACAGAATCCCATCTGGTCACTGAGGTTCTGTATGGATGTGAAGTCCACATAAATAGTCTATGCTATTAGACTATTGACCTGCTTCTAGCCAATCATTAATTTTTCCCTTTCCAGATGATTGCTTGTCCTGTATTTTGTAGTCTAAAGCTTCCCCTTATTAAAGATAGATATAAGATAAAATCTTAAGAAGTGCCTAAGCCCTGTTGTTATCCAGTGGGGTTTAAGAACAAATTTATATTTAGGAAATGAATAAAGTAGTCTTAAATTCTATCTGTGTTGTGTGTAGCAGCGTCAAGAAATGACAAGTTTATAGTTCTTGGAAGAACTGGCTGTCTCCTACGGACTCGCCCTTCATGTTTGAAAGACTGTCATGGTCTCCTAAGGTCGTGGCTGAAAGCTCTGGAAAAATGGATTTCTTGTGATCACAGCAGTCAGATATCTGCAAATGCCTTATCTTGTTTTGTGAGGTATGACTGAAAGTGTGTGGCGCTGGTGTGTAGAAATTCTGTGTCAAAAATAGGTGCGATAGAATCCAGTTAAAGGCATTGTGAAATAAGTAGCTTTTACACCAAACCTTAAACGAAAGAGTATTTTACACCAGAATGTAGCTGTTTGGATGCTTGGTCAAGATAATACAAGGTTGCAAGCAGGTTACAATGTTGAACGTTCTCTGTGTAAATATATAAATATTCTCAGCCTAATTTTATCAGACTAACACATGTTGCATGGTTTGGGGTTTTTCTGCCTCATTGATCATCAGTGTTGATTAAAAGATGATGGGTTGAAAATCATGCTGGTGCTGTACTGAGCCCTTTGAACAAAGAGCAAGGAGAACCTTTGTGCACCAAAAATGGAGCTGATTTTGCGTATGGCAGCAGTGCAGAAAGTGTTGGACCCTGCAGCCAATAAACAGACCTCTTAAACAACCATGAATTTTGTTAATAGTGTTTTCTCTCCACTGTCCCTAGTGGTGTTCTAGTTTGAATGTATTCCTTACTGGTGGCAAGCATAAATGGCGGAATAACGCGCTCTAGCACTCATGGTAAGCATTGCCAAATAGGCACTCATGAGGTGAAGTAGCCTCTTTACTCTTCGTTCTTGTTCCACTTTGAGCGAAGCTCAGCTTCTGACTTTGCTTGCTGAATCTTTCAATAATCAGCCGCTGACAACTTGACACTGTATAAGGGGGAAGAAGGTAAAAGTCAATGTACTCCTGAATTTGTTTAAAAGGCTTTTTGTTTTTTCTTTAAATTCTAGCATTAAAAAAAAACCCAAACCCCAAAACAACCCTTCTAAACTGATCTGTGTTTTGTTTTAAACTTAATTA